ACATCTGTTTCTAAAAACATTTTGGCTGTGGTCCTCATTAGGGAGTCAGTATGTATGGATGGTGATAAAGTAGCACAGCTCGAAAGTGACTTGACAGTTGGTATGACACAATACAGAGTTTGTGTCCTATAAGAGCTGAAATAGCTTTTTGTTTCAATGTCCGGAGAAAATGAACACATAATTGTGAGTTTGGAGGCAAGGCCTGAATGTTCGGCTGAAGTTTCTTCTTGTCTAAAATGGCTTGTGCTTGCTGCTTGTTTGTGTGGGACTCACTCAACTTGAGAGGAATTGCTGCAATTTACACATTCCTGAAATGCTAAATCTCGTGAAGTGTCAGACGGTCAGCAGAATCTTTGGTGCATTTATTACATAACAGCGTCTCACTTTACTTGCCCTACCTGTCTGACAGAATGGAGCCTGCGAGAACAGTTCAAAATGCCAGGCAGCCGTTTGGAAGAAGCACGGCACACAGGAGGATCACATAATGCTCTCATAACAATCCCTATCTCATTCCAACACAATCTTAACTGGCTGGATACAAGCCATAACACACAGAGCTAAAGCGCTCTCTGAGCAATGAACATCATTTTCAGGAGCTATTCAGAACTCAAGTGGTCGCATTGTTGATTGTCTGGTGTGAACACTACCCTGCCCTCAACCCCAGCCCCACACACAAACACACACAGTACACCTGGAAAACAGCACCACCCTGAACACTCACACACAACACCCTGCTGAAATGGCATTTAAACTGTTGCATAATCCTTGGCAGCCTGACTGCACAAAGGCAGACTACAACCCCTGGAGTCAGATTACACCAAAATCACTTCTCTAGGCGTGGAAATTGTACTAGAATAAAGAAGTGATTCAACCAACGTACACTGCAGTAGTGTACTGTATATGTGAGACAGCTAAGTCTATTTAGAAATGCCAGTTACCTAACCTCAAAAACACTTACATGTCCTGTGCTCACAGACCCTCCTCAACTCAGTGAAACCACTCTAACAAGACTTAGGTAATGAGGAACTGACTGTAATTGAGTTTTAATCGCAGGTTAAGTGTATTTAAACAAAATGTGTGTCACATTTCTAGATCCACTCCGTCTCAGGTTGACTAATCTCCTTAACATTAGGTGCTGCTGTGTGATCCACAGTAGAGCTGATGAGGTTTATAACTCTTACACAGGCAGATAGCTTCTTCAGGAACTGGAAAATTTGCCTCAGACTGATTCAGGCCTAGAAAACCAAAGCACTTTCTTTGTTTAATCCCCAAACACACTTGTGTGATTGCAACAGAACATAAAGTGACATGCTACACATCGAGGAACAGAAAATATGTATAGTATACAGGAAGGTGGTAATGTTGCAGTTACTACCCTTACTGTATTATTTGTATTCATGCAGTGCTAATAATCCATCTTCAAAGCAAAAAAACACCGATCTGTCAGAGGCCTTGTTTTGCAGTACTGTTTTATGGAAGCTGAGTCAATGTAAAACAAACCCAGGGACAGACTCTTCCCCTGCAATCAGAATATCTGTTAGGTTTACCAAAGTGCCTTATCATCAGCATCATAACATTCAGCAGAGATCTTTTTTTCTAAGCACAGCAGTAATATCTTTCAGTATGTGGCGTGGCCAAGGTCAGGCAGACCCATGAAAGGCTAAGATAAGGCTTTGCTGAGAGATGTGCCTGTGCTGTGTGTGAGGCTAACACAGCATGCTAAAACAATCATAGGCCCTCTATGTCTATATAAAGTGCTCTTCATATATGTGCCTGCATGTGTACACATGTGCTCCTGTGTACACTCCTGTGCGTGTATTTTCTGATCGTGACAGTACTCCCACTGGACTGGAATGGCACGCCAAGTTCTGGGCATCATAACCTCATTCCTTCTCCCTCTTAAGTAAACTCATCTCCACTCTCCTCTGGGAACGGGTTGACAGCTGCAGGTCACTCTGAGGAATGTGTTACTGTTTTGTACGGACCATCTTTCTCTTGTTTTGAACAAACATGCAGCAGCAAGCACAGTGGCTTGTTGCACCATGGGAACAGGCTCTTTCTGGAGAGGAGAATGGAAAAACAACGTGCATCACAACATCGCCTGTGAAATTCCACAAGGAACATTTCCCTTAATGTGTGTCCATGTGGGTGTTTCACTCCCTAGCTCCTGCAATATGGCTCAAAGCATGACACTGGAGAGAGAATCAATAGCACACAATGAGAGGGATCTTAAAAGCCAAGGTTCATAATGGGGTGGACCTCATGTGTGCCTCCCTATATGTTGAATGCATTTCATAAAAGCTTTTTTTTTTTTTTTTTTACATGATGCTGATGACATTTTGGCTTCCTTTGCTGTCATGCAATGTAAAATACAAACACGTTTGCCTACCTGAGAGGAGATGATACAGCGTGATAGATGAGAACACTGTGTACAGATGCATTAGAATTTCATGTACCACACACACACACACCTACCTACCTCACAGCCTTGACCAGCGCTGGCTGCGAGGAATGCTCCGTTTGTCTAGTAGCCTGGTTTCATAGCTATGCCTATAATCTGACTGTACCCTGAGGGGGGACCTGCTGCTTAAAATGGAAATAGCAGGGCACCAAGTGACCTTTCAGAGCTCGGTGGAGCCATCCACTCTGAGCATGTTGTGCTCGGGGAGTTCAGATGCAACACTGTGCAGCTGCTGTATTGGGAAACAAATATGATTTAGGGCTGTGGTAAACAACAATTACAGCAACTCTGATCAAGTGTCAGCAACACACACACACACACACACACACTTAGAGCTACCTGCAGCCAGCTTGGTCACCTATTCACTGCAGCTGTTTACTCCAAAATAGGCCAACAACGAGTTATCACCTCAGACATCACTAACAGTCGGCCGGCTGTGAGCCAAGTAACCTACAAAACATCCTGCTGTCAAAAAGAAAACGAGGAGATGGCGAAAATAAAATGCGACAGCAGTTTATAATAGAGGCTGGGAGATCATACAGCTCATACCGTGTTACACTGAATTACATTAAAAAAAAAAAAAAAAAAGCACAAAACCTTACCTGGCTTTCTGAGATAACGCCGTCTTGATGGTGTAACCTCGGGAAAGGTTGAGAAGATGATCTCCTGAATTGGATTAACGAAGACGCGGCCAACCAGTCAGGCGGAGAAGGAGGAGGAGGAGGAGGAAGAGGATATCTCTGAAGAGATGATGCCCATGTTCATAATTTGCCCCTCCGACAGCGGGGTGGGAACATTTGACCCGCTACTGTCGCCTACAGCGCCTGAGAACAGGCCCCGGTGAAACACTAACAGCCACCATCGGCGAAAACAGCGTAGATAAATAAGCAGAGCGGAGGGGAAGCTGCAGCTGACACTCTTCTATCTGTTTTGCTTGACAGTCGGATTGTTTGTACACCGGAACAGCGCTCTGCTCTCGATTACCGAAGAGTGCGCAACGTCCAGCCGTCAGCCTGGCGCACGAATCCTGCGGCGTTAAAGCGAGAGGCTGTGTGGTTGCAAAAAAAAAAGATCCGAGGGCGGTGTGTTTACCTCTCCGCCGTCCCTGCTGCCGTGCTCGGGAGGAAATCAGCTGCTCCGCACTGGAGAGACGCCATTTGTTCGTCAGAGGCTTTCCCGTCTGCCGTGCTGCGCTGCCGCTTTAAGAAAGAGCTCAGCGCCCCCTACCAAGCGTTTCACAAACAGCGGCGCCCCCTGCTGGCACAATACTGCAATCGCTCGATTCTAACAGTCAGAAACATAATCCCTCCGGCAGTGGTGGAATGCATGTTTACTCAAATATTGTACTTCAAGTCCTTCTCCACTCAAAGCTATGGTTTTCTTCATATTCCTACAGTTGGGTGTTTGAGCTTCGCTGTGCAGAATGATGTATGTGCAGAGTTTGACACGAGAAGGAAAAAGTTTCTCTCACTGAAAATCTGATTTTTCATTCAAAAATAGTTTGGAAGCCAAGCAGACTATTAGTATATGTCTTAATGCATGTCTGGAGGGGATCTTTAAGTTCAGAGGTTAAGTTGGGGTAACTGTACTTTTAGTCTTTTCATGCCACGTTCTTACAATTCACTTCACTACAAATCAGAGGGGAAAATGATCTGAAAGCTTCAGTTATATATTTGCACAAAACCTAAAAGATCGCTAAAGAAATACGTTTTCTTATAAATGAAACCACCCAACAGTATACTCAGGTACAGCTGAAATTATTAGTTGATTAATCAGTTAGCCGTCCATTAGAACATCCATATAAAATGTCAATTTACCAACAAAAGGCAAGGTAGAGCAATATGAATGTATTTATGTTGTCTACCAGGTTGCTAAAACAGTAGAGCAAGTAGAGACTTGCCTTCAACAGTAGAGATAACAGAACCTGTATGTTAAGGTTGGCAAGGATTAAAATATCCACTAAATGGCATGTGTTAATAGCACTTGTTGGGGTGGGTGTCTGATGCCTTGGTGACACACTGAACGAGTAGAGAGAGTAGTTCTCGCTCAACCTGAGGATTACATGGTTAGAATTCTTTTCAGTTGTCAAAGTCATGAATGGCATCTTTACTTTACTGGAAGTCACATGTTGTTACGAGAGCCAGTGTGACCAGTTTACTTACTACTATGCAGAATCTTTTAAATCACGTCACAAAACTTAGGTCTTAGGTTTTCATTGATGGTAGCGCACTGTTTTATTACTAACACGTCTTATGTGGATTACTATTATTGTTTTTATCTTATATTGTTGGATTTCTTAGTCCATTTTATTTTTGAATTAGTTTTACTGATTTAAAAGTGCTGTATAAACAAATATAAATTACATTTAGTTATATTTAAGTTTAAATGAAAGTGATGTATAATGTATCTTTCTTATAACCGTTTATCTTATGCCTGGACCTTCAGGCTGGTCTTCAATCAGCCATATTGGAAGAAAGTGATTTTTCATGATAATGTAGCGTGCTACATGCTGACTAAAACAAAATAAAAACTTTCACAATTTTCACAAATAAGTGTTTTTATTAAAATATATTTGGTCACACAACTGTCTGCAGTGCAAGGAAAGAATAATCTATAAACCAATCTATCAAAACAAGAAAGTGCAAAAATTGTGACTTTAAATTCAACATGTCTTAAGTTATAAAAGTAGCACACACAAATAAAGAAAAAAACACGAGTACTGTACAAATTATGAGTGCAATCTCTCAACAAACATAAATCAATCATCCAGATTTTCACCATTCCAGCTTCATGTCGGCTTTGCTCCACACATATTTGCCTCCTCTCTTTAAAAACATCTTTTCATCAAAGCCACTAAAGCAAATGGCCTCCTTAACACCAACATCGAGGATGGATTTGGACGGGTCCTTTCTTCCATCTCGACAGTCCAAAAAACGCATCTGAAAAACGAAGAAATGGTAAATCTGTAACAAACATGTTTCAAGCAGTTATAAGAAGATGAGCCAAATACCTAAAAACCTGCAAATTTAAATTATCTGAATGATGCCAGACTTAAGCCTTTGAACTCTATTCAAGCTTTCACTATTTAATGACTTCCCATTCTAACTTCCCTAAATTTGACAAAAATAAAAACTAACTTTAGCAAACTTAATGGCCTAGTTACATTAACAATTAAATAAGGAAAACTCATATGGCCTGTGTAAGTAGAAATAAGAGGACTGTGTTTAAATCTTAAACAATATAAGTTACTTACATATTCATCCAGGATCAGGTAGGAATTCCTCATCTGTGAAGACAACCAAGACCAAAAACTTTAACATGGGATTCTCAACATCGTCACACTATTTGCTCCACTTGCAATAAGAAATGTCCTACAAAAAGGTTCCTGCCAAGATGCAGGTTGAATTGGACTCTTGTTTCAGTTCTCGAAGTGCACCCCCGTTATGAGTTTGCTATCCATCCATTTTCCATTCACTTCTATCTGTACAAACTGAGTGCACAGTGATAGGGGCACATTCGGATGACAATTTGGCAAATAACTTTAGCCACAAGTAGTGTTGTGACCACTGTTTATTGTACCCTGGTATTGTAAAATCAGAGGGACTAAAGTGCTAAATGTGGACAGGACAACTACATAATGGGAATATTATGTAGGAATGGACAACAGGGACATTCATTTCCACTTGTTCTTTAAAATGTGATATAACTTGCTATCAACAAATGTCACAGTATCTCAATATGGGAAATCTTACTATTAACAACCTCATACCTTCTCATTGGACTCAGGAACGAGGCAGGAGACGCTGCTGTGTCTCTCCAGAAACTCCTGAAACTGTTGGTCACTGATGACGAACCTCTCCGCCTCTCTCAGGGCTGTCTCTCCTGCATTTTCCCCGTCAATCAACAGACACTGGAATACCTGAACACACAGGGAGCACAGACAGAGAGGGTGAGTATGTGTGCCAAGAGACTCAAACACACAAACATACTCTCACTTTTTAATGTTACCTTCCAGCGTACGGGGCCAATCCGAGTGATGTTCTCCCCCATGTCTTCGTCCACGTTGAAGGTGTTGATGACCGAGTTGATTTTGAATGCCACTTTGTACTGCTTGCACCAGTCGCAAATCCTGTAAAGGTTGTCGAGGTGGCTCTTCCTGCCCTGAGCTCTGCCAATCAGCTGGTTGGTTGCTTCGTCAAAGCTGTCACAAGAGATGGCCAAGATGTCCAGATAGTCACCTGATGGGGAGAGAGAGCGCATCATTTTGCATAACAATGAAGCCCTTCTTCTTAGACTAAAAATAAGCTCACACCTAGTGTACAATCTGGTAAAGAGAAGAAGAGTTAAAAGTCTTACCATATTTCTGGAACCATTTTTCTTTGATCATGCTTCCGTTGCTGACGATGCTGACACTTGGGAGCTGGAGGTCCTGTTTACAGAACTGAACTAACTTCCCCAGAAACTCTCCTTTATCGTGCAAGAAAGGCTCTCCGCCAGAGAAGTTGATCTTTTCCATGCCTGATGAACATAGAGATGAATTAAACTGCATGCTAGAGGTCTGACACCACACAAAAGACCAATGACATTTAATCTTCTACTTAAGAATTCAAGGTACTTGTATTTTACCTGAGTATTTACATCTCAGAGGGAAATATTGTACATTTTACTTCCACTTAATTTCTCTGACAGCTTTAGTTATTAGAATATTTCTGATGAACTTAAGGATCAAGTGTGCGTTAAGAAAATTCTATTCTATTAAGCTAAATAAACTATTTAAAAACCCTTCTGGATTATCTGGAAGATATATAAACATATATATATATAAACTATAAACATATTATGATCGTACAGAACAGGATGTATTGCTGTAGATGAAACTACCCAACAGTACATAAAGTTGTTAAAATTAGCTCAAGCTTAAACATCTACAGTAGTAGTACCAGTATAGAATAAAAAAATATAATCATATATAATATTATAACACTGACAGGGATCATTTTTCTGCATAATGATAATATCTACTTTTAATATTAATACTTTAATATTAATACTTTTAATACTTAAAGTACAGTTTGCTCATAACTTTTACTTAACTAAGGTTTTGAATGCACTACTTGTAGTGGAGTTTGCGCACAAGATAAGTAACCTGTGCCAATACGATAATAACTGGTGCGCACAAGACACAATTTTTTTTTTACCTTTTGGGACTTTAGGAGCTGAGTAAATAACATAGCAAATTGACTGCTTAAATAAAGCAATGAACACAGCAATGTTTCAAACACAGAGGCGAAATCAGCAAACATATGCCTATAAAGCTATAAATGCAACTTACCCCCGTGGTCTACAAAGCATAAATTATCCCAAGATAAGTAACTTGTGCCCATAAGATAAGACACTTGTGCCTTTTGGGACTTCAGGGGCTCCGTAAACAGAATATACTGATGAGTCCAAGTTACCTGCTTCCTTCAGAAGTTTGAGCCCCCTCTTGGCTTCCTCTAGAGGAAGGACGAAGGATGTTTTTGCAGTGTGGAAACAAAACCCACATTTGTAATTACACTTGCGTGTAAAATGATAATTGACACTTGTCGGAGTCGTCGCGTTGTGCACGTTGCTCTGGTCCAGTTTGCTGTCAACGGGAGACACAGGTGAAGTTATCGTCCCCTTGCAGGCTCCCACTGTCCACTTACGAACTTTTAAAAAGACGCTCGCCAGAATACCGTGCAGGGTGCTGATGCAGAGCTGCAGCAGCTGCTTCGGAGACCAGACAACAGAGGATAACTGCATCTTCAGACCGACCCAATCAGACATGCTCTGTTCGGACTGTGGATGCCTCTTAAATAGGTGGCTGCAGGGCGTATGTAGGTCGGTAAAGCTGATCAGCTGAGCAGCTTTGAGTTTCTGTTTACTAACAGCGAAAACGAAACCCAGCCGAGTACGCGACAGATGACTGCACACAATATGACACTGCAGGCGAAGTTCTAAATCCATCATTACAAGTAAACACACCTTCAGTCATTATACAGATGCAACAATAAGTGTGAACTTTATGGTAACTAATAAGTTATTCAATATGGACATCACTGATATGAGATGTCATTATATAATAAAACTTTTGATGACCTTTAAAACTTGCACAGAGGCAAAGTGTAAATGGTTGCCTGCTGATGTTCATGCTTGCCTTGTTAGTGTTTTAGCACGTCTTCAATAATATATTAATTACTGTCAGTAAAATCAGCTTTTATTCATCTCTGCTTCATTACTTATTACTTATTGTCTGACAGCTTTAGTTACTAGTTACTTATCAGATCAGAGGTTTTCACACCCTTCCTGTTCAGTGAAAACCACGTATCTCCAAATATGATTGTATTGCATTTCTGATCAACTTAAGGATCAAGTGTTCCTTTATGGGTTGGGCAAAGTCTCTTCCTAAGCTAAATAAACTATTTAACAACCCTCTCGTGGAGTATCTGGAAGATGCATTGTCACAAAGTTGAAAACAGTTTTTATGTTTACAGATATATTTACAGATATAAGTGATTAAATATGGATATTACTGATATAAGATGCCATAATATAATAAAACTTAGTTGTAACAATGCTTTTGATGACCTTTAAAACTTGCACAGAGGCAAAGCATGTTTGTAAACGGTTGCCTGCTGACGTTCTTTCTATTATTTCATGCTCGCCTTAGTAAGTGTTTTAGCACGTCCTCAATAATTTATTAATTACTGTCAATGAAACAGCCTATCAGCTTTCAGGGCCATCCAGAGGATTGTGTTTCCTCTGCAAGCCTTCCACCTTTATCCATCTCTGCTTCCTTAGTGATAATCATAATAAAAATAATAATAACCCTGGTTTCTTCTCTTTCCTTCCTGCACCCAACACCCCCGGCACGTGCCAAAATGATGACACAGGCACCCTACTTTAGTGTGACACAACCAGCAACTATTTGAACCGGTTCTTCCACAAACATAACTCGGACTCAAGGAAAACATTCCCCGTTAATAAGTAGCACAACTCATTAGGTTTCGTTTTCGCGCGATAGGGGCCAGTTAGTTTCGTTTCCCCGGCAGCGGCCACTTCATGTAATGCCGCAGTAAGTATCATTGGACTGGAAACTGATCACAACTGGCTCTGCTAGCAGATGGCACGACGCACAATGTCTCTCCTTCCCCAGTGGTCCACGCGTGTTTTTTCAGTGGAGCTGGACGGCGCAGCGCACTACTTCTCGATTCAAGAAAGGCACCGGGGGGAGGAAGCGCCGCGGGTGTTCAGCAAAGTCCAAGACCATGACAGGTGTTACTCTCTCCTCGTCTGCGGCGGCGACAGAGTCGGACGAGCCAAGTTTTACGCGGAGCTGAAAGAGAAATTGTTGAGAGACTTGCCACCGGAGTGTGATGTGTCTCCCATGTCCTCATTTCTGCCAAATGTCAAGGATTCTCTCATCAGGGGGTACTTTCTAAAAGACAATTCTGGGAGTTCTTCCCCGTCAGAGAGACTTTTGCGAGATTTAATACGGCGTGATCCTGTGCTTGTGTGTTCCTACTTGAAAGGCAAGGACGGCCAGCTGTGTCAGCATCTGTGGTCTCATGCAGACAGCCAAACTGTGGAAATGTCAAAGGGGTACTATGTGGTACCTTCACAGCCGCCAGAATATCACCCATCTACTCTCAACATCATCAACTCTGATGTTTTCTACAGCTTTGAAGATGCCTGTGAAGTCCTGAAAGAGGTTCTTATCCCAGCCTCGTTATGATATGCACATAAACAGATAGTATAGAAATATGCTTTATTTGCAAGCTATGGTAAAAAATGGCACCCTCATGCGGTAGATAAAGGTATAGCAGCGGACACCAAGCGGCCCAAAGTGGCACTTGATTATTCCATTTATCTATCAGTGCCAGGTGGCCCACAGTGGTGCGTGTGTTCATGTGCGCAGTGTATGACTCCCCCCTGCCTCCTCTCACAGCAGAAAACTGATTGTGTCTGTTCTGCAGTGCGGTGACATCATCCCAGAGGCAACGTCTGTTATGGAGCTGCTGCCCAGCAGAGCGCCGGCCAGAAGTAAACCAGACTTCCCTGTTATTGTCATAGAGGGCCTGGATGCCACAGGTTAATGCCATTACCTCATAAATAAATATGGGATCAGTTTGATGTATAGATGTCTTGCTAAAGTGATGGCCAGTTGTTCTCTGCTAAAGCCATTATCTGCCAGCGAGCCTCGCTTAATGGAATATCATGTATCATGACCTCAGAAAAGTTACATCACTGTGAAAATGGTTTATTGAAGAGCTTGCTCATCTAATACTCTTTGCGAAACCTCATGAAAGCTCAACCATGTAGGTAGGATGGGAGTTTTAGTTCAGTCAACTTTTCCCACTGCAGTCCCTTATTACATTTAAAAAATATGATGAATTCTGCCTTTTGCTTTCCGAAACTGTACCCAGTCTTTGTGTTTCTTCTTTGTTTGTGTCTTTTCTTTTTTTTCCTCCCTCCCTCTTCCCATCACAGGTAAGACCACTCTGACTGAGTCTCTGAGGGATACTCTGGGGGCCACTCTTCTGCAGTCCCCTCCCCAGTGCCTGTCCCCCCTGAGGGCCCGCTTTGATCAGGAGCCGCCCCTTGTCCGCAGGGCGTTCTACGCTCTGGGGAACTACATCACGGCAGAACAAGTAGGCCAGGAGGGCATGAAGACACCTGTCATCGTTGACAGGTAAAGACAGCTGAGATGTCACAAAGTTGTGTGTGTTGATGTGCGAAGTTTGCCTGTTTTGTGACAATAGATATATTCTCCAGGGATCTAGACCTACAATTGAATGCTTAACATCTTCTGCTCCTGCGAGGCCAGTTACCTGATCATCCATCCATCCATCATTCACTTTTCAATCCACCATCCATTATCTTTCCCCAGATTCTGGCACAGCACAGCAGCATATGCCATTGCCACAGCAGTGGGCGGTCCAGTGTGCAACCTTCCAGTAGAGGGTTCGGAGGTTTACCGTTGGCCCAGTGACCTGCTCCAGCCCAGCCTGGTGATCTTACTCACCCTGGATCCTGAGGAGAGGAAGAGGAGGCTGAGGGACAGAGGTCAAGGAAAGACGGAAGAGGAGCAAGAGCTGGACCACAACCAGCTTTTCAGACTCAAGTGAGATGTTTGGATATCATTTTGTACATAATATATGTGTAGGATACATATACATAAGTTTGAGTTTACAAGTTTACAATCAGGCATGTGAAATAGTAGAGCTAATTATGTTGATTAACAATCTGTTGATTGCTTCTTTGAATGAATCTTCAGAAAATGGTGAAAAAAATGCCATCACATTTTACCAGAAACCCAAGGTGATGTCTGCAACTGGCTTATGTGTACTTGCTTAATGTCTCAGACTATTAATTGATCAAAATTATAGTAATAGTTGATAAAATAGAGAATTGACTTTTCGGACGGCTAAAATACTGAGATAACATTTCTTAAAGCAAGAGAAAAAAACCTCTGGCAGTGGTTGAGTTTGCTTAAACTATTAATTCCTTAAATTGTAAAATAAAATTTCTGAAATTGCACTGGAATAAACAATTTGATCAAAAACTTTAACTGTAACTTTTTAGTAGCCATACATTTGAACATAAATGGAGTTTTCATAATATAAGTGTCTTTAGGATTGCATTACATTGTATGCACTGTTCTATTAATATGACTGAGGTCCAGTATGACAGTACATCTGTATGGTACCCAGAGTGGGTAATGATAGAAAAAGAAAGAAGAAAACCCATTTAGCGATGTGACGTCTGTGGACAAATGTTCTGCAGTCTGTGATGAAAAAAGTTCTCTTTGAGTGTAAAAAACATGAAACCACAGATGGGATAAAAACCGTACTGCTCGTTTCACTGAGTCAGGTCAGCTCAGTCTTCGTCTGATCCATCAAACACTTAACAATCAATTACTGTCCCGTGGGGGAAGCAGCTGATGAGAAAGAACAGGTGATTAGTTGCTGAGCTGTTGTGCTCCATTAAGCTGGTCAAAACTCACAGGCACTGCCAGCCCAGTTAGTCGCTACGCAGACAGGTCGATGGCTACTTTCATTCATCCTCTATCCTGACATAATGGCCTTTCCACACGGGACAGCCAGATGTTGGGCCAGCAGAATTAGAAAATGGAGCGAGTTGACTGTCTGCCGCTGAGAGAGTGAGAGATTCTGCAGTCTTGGTCGATCACTATCACAAGGACTATTCTTCATTTGTCTCAGGAAACGCTCTGAGCCATCTGTGTTCTTTCTTATCATATTAAAGTTCTCAGATGTTGTGCATTTTTATCGCTCACTCCTCACTGTTCATCAAAACTGCAAGCAGTCAAAATGCTCAAACTTGTCCTGAAAGCAGATTATTCGGTGTAATGCAGAGTGTCGTTTGCTGTGTTTATATGCTTATTTTCCGTACTTGTTCACCAGTGTGGTTGTTCATGTGTGTCTCTGCAGAGTGGAGGAGGCTTACCGGAGGATCATTGGCCCAGCTTGCGTCACTGTGGATGCTAGTCCTTCTGCAGACCAAGTGCTCCAACAAGTGCAGCTTTTAATTAGGGGCAAATGCCACTTGTAAGCAGTTCTCCATCTCCCCTGCTGTCAGCCAAGCATCAAGTGGATGCAGTACCTCCTTGCACCACTGGGTGCCAGTAAGGTGTTGTGAATGCAATAGTAGGAGGGATGGTGGCCAGATTGGAGTGTGGAGAAGAGATTCTATTCAGAATGAGTAAAGGTTGAATGGCCAGGGGCCAGAACTGCATGCTACAATCAGAAATACATATTCATGTAGACACACACATGCACACACAGATTCTGACACACACACACAAGTATTGTTAAGAAGTGTGCATTTAACTGCTGT